CCATCATAAGCTCGTAAAGGGAAGGGGAAACCGATTATCTTCTCCTGATGATTCATCTCATTTTACAATTATTGATATTAAAAGGCCAAATATTAATTTATTTTAAAAATTATGTACCATGAAATTAGTAGGCATTACTTTAACACGATTTAAGATTTGGCAGGACTGGTATTCGAACTCGGGACCTTATTGTGCGTTTGTATAGCTTTTGTGAAGTTCAAACTGCCACAAGTGACAAGATCTAGTAGCACACATTGCAAATATTGACTGACTAAATTAGTCGCATATCAATGACAGTCCGAGGCACACATTGCAAATATTGACTGACTAAATTAGTCGCATATCAATGACAGCCAGAAGCACACATTGCAAATGTTGACTGACTAAATTAGTCGCATATCAATGGCAGTCAGACACAAGTCACATCAATGCTGTGTTCATTTGCTGACATCTAACTAGTTTCCTTGGGCAAATAGCAGCACAATCTTCCAGTAATGAGACACTTGCATGGAAGAACGCTCATGGTAAAAATAGAGGGGAAATTACCGTAATCCAATTAAAAGTTGTGTAATGTATGCTCAACATCTGCTTTGTGAAGACCTGTCGGCACAATAAATAACAATAAACATGCCGGCATGAAATACAGCAATTTATGATACATATTGCAAGAAGACGAATAAAGTTCTTGATGAATGTGATATCTACAACATGCCGCATTAATGGAATATGGGCATGTTTGATGTAGAATAGCAATAATTATGTAAAGCTATCATGCTACACGACAAAAAGCTACAAAAATAACTTGTTTAACTTTAAACACGGTTGCTAAACTGAGAAATATATTGTTTATAATCTTTATATCGCTCTACGCTAATTTCGCTTGTTTCAAAAAGATGGTTAACTTTTAACAATTATTTCATTATCAAAATCATAACATGTTTTGTTATTTGCAGTATTTTCGGGCAAACAGCTTTCAAGCAAGTGGCTTTCAGAAAAGTGTCGTATTCGAATAATCGTTCATTTGGGTAATCGTCCCATTAAGGCGAAATTCAATCTGGCTAACGTTTCATTGGTGCAAATGTCCATTCGGTAAAACGGCGTTAAAAAAAACAAAACAAATTGGGGCAAGTGTCTTTAGGGCATTCCTCACAGACTTATATGAAGGTGGTCAGAAAAGCTAAGGCTGAGTAGAAGAATTAGTGCTCACAATGATAGAAATGTGTAGCAAATCCTCACCGTTGAAGTCACACAGAAACATGTACAGCTTCTAGAGAAGGTTGACTTAAGGACTAGCGGGGGTTTATCTCAAATCAAATTTGGGGTAATCGAATGAAACGAGAGACGACCGCGGCCATTTTGTTGGTGCCCTCTTCCGGGAGGGTCAGCAGGAGAGGTGATGGTCAGATGCGGAGAGAAAGTAATGAAAGATAAGAGATAGGGGGGGGGGGGGAGAGAAAATAAGGAACACTCAGCTTGAATTAAGGTAATGTGTCTGACAGGGGGAGGGGGTGATGGGGAGATAGAGAGAGGTAGGGGGAGACAGTTACACTCTCATGAGGCGCTCTGAGATGGGGGGGGGGGGGGGAGGGAAGGGCGCGTTCATTCATCTTATCCAAGGGAGAAAACTTGATAATCTTGGCATCGGATTAACCAAGTAACGAAGAAAGAGCGGTATACAAAAATGCCATGTTTTAAGTAAAAGAAAAATATTTTTTTAAAAGAAATTTTGAAACTGTTAAGGTCACAGGCGTTGGGGATCTTGACTTGGGCGGGGGGAGGGGGGGGGTGGGGGGGGGGGGGGGAAGGGGGAGAGAGGGACAGCACCAGGGGCTGAGAACACTGAAGAATGTTCGAGAAAATTGATGAATGACGTTAATGATATAATTATCAGGGATAAGGAGGGAGTGGCCACGAGTTGATCCGACTTAGCAAATGAGGGCTGATCACTTCGGTATGAGCACTCGTCCACGTGAAGTTCGCTTTTAATTTAGCCTGGAATTGGGTTATATTTTTAGTATAGAGAAGTGCGATGGAATTTCGATAACTGATGTTGTATAATTGATACAATTTACCGGAGTGAGTGCTTGATACGGTCTGGGAAGTGGGTTGAGACAATCAAATATTGTTGACTTATATCTATCATCCTTAGCAGTGTTTTTTTTCAATACTTTTTTCTCCAGGTAGGGGGGAGGGGCACTTGATATCTCCGGGGGGGGGGGGGGGGCAGTGGTATAAGTATATATTTTCTGTATAAATTCCATTTCGTTCGGGGGGGGGGGGGGCGGTAGATTTTCTTCCGGGGGGCAAAGACCCTCCCGAAGAGATGCCTGGAAGAACTTTGATTCTTAGACCATCTAATATTTTTAGTCATCTTGTTTTAGAAAATCTAGTATTGGTAACATTTAGTTTTCAGACTATCCAATATTATTATCGTCTAGTTTTAGACCATCTAGTACTTGTATCATCTAGTTTTAGACCATCTAGTATTGATATCGTCTAGTTTTAGACCATCTAGTACTTGTATCATCTAGTTTTAGACCATCTAGTATTGATATCGTCTAGTTTTAGACCATCTAGTACTTGTATCATCTAGTTTTAGACCATCTAGTATTGATATCGTCTAGTTTTAGACCATCTAGTACTTGTATCATCTAGTTTTAGACCATCTAGTATTGATATCGTCTAGTTTTAGACCATCTAGTACTTGTATCATCTAGTTTTAGACCATCTAGTACTTGTATCATCTAGTTTTAGACCATCTAGTACTTGTATCATCTAGTTTTAGACCATCTAGTATTGATATCGTCTAGTTTTAGACCATCTAGTACTTGTATCATCTAGTTTTAGACCATCTAGTACTTGTATCATCTAGTTTTAGACCATCTAGTACTTGTATCATCTAGTTTTAGACCATCTAGTATTGATATCATCATATCGAGATGTTGAGACCATTCAGTGTTCTCTTTATCTTGCCTTCAGATTTTCCATGATAGACAAAGGGACTTCCACACATTTACCCGTCGCGGACTGGTTTTGTATGTGGTTGTAGGTGTGCTTGTGTGTGTGTGTGTGTGTATGCGTGTGTGTGTGTGTATGTGTGTGTGTATGTGTGTGTATGCGGGGGAGGCGGTAGGGAAATGTTTTTATGTGATGTTCGTTAATGTAAATGTAGTATTTTTTAATATGCATGTGATGTTTGTTAATGTGATGGCTGTTTCTGTGTTTCTGGTGTATTTTATGTATATGTTGTGGTTAAATACATGCGACTGTATTTTGGTGTGTGTGGGGCGAGTTCATGTGTTCATTTTTTTAGGCGTGGGCGTTTTGTTTAGTGTGCTGCCGCCTGTGTGAGTGTGTCTACTTGAGTGAGTGAGTGTGAGTGAGTGTGAGTGTTTCTGTGTGAGTGTGTCTGCGTGAGTAAGTGAGTGTGAGTGAGTGTATCTGTGTGAGTGTGCATGTGTGAGTGTGTGGGTGTATCTATCTCAATGAGAGTGTGCAGCAGAAAAGGCATCAACTGTTTTTACGTTGTGAAATCAATTTTTTTTCTCTAATGATCGATAATGACATTCACACAATCAAGCCGACGTTGACAAAATATCCGCACGGAAAAAAAACTAATTCTTTTTTAAATTGAATTGGCGCATTTAAAATTTGGTTGCTATTTTTAAAAGTAAAAATTCGCCAACTGGAAATTGACATCGTGATCTTAGCTTGTGAGTTGGATCAGCATTGTTATAACCGAATACATAAAGTATGATGAAGGGACGGTCGGATGGTAGAGTCAACGCCTGCTAACCCAACGTTTTCGAGTTCGGATCCCGGGCTAGAGTCTATAGGACGTCCCTGCGTCTGGGCATAGTGTTGACCACGTTATTCTCCCATTGAAACAGATCAGCTCTACTTCATCTGCCCATGCGGTTTGGGATCGAACGGGAAAAACATGTGATAAGTGATGAAGGAATGAAGAAAATGTATGTCGAGAATATTTTTACGCTTGTAATTAAACGTAGATGGCTATAAAAGAAGATGGCTATAAACGAAGATGCCTATAAACGAAAATGCCTATAAACGAAGATGACTATAAAAGAAGGTGTCTATAAACGAAGATGTCTATAAACGAAAATGCCTATAAACGAAGATGCCTATAAACGAAGATGTCTATAAACGAAAATGCCTATAAACGAAGATGTCTATAAAAGAAAATGCCTATAAACGAAGATGTCTATAAACTAAGATGTCTATAAACAAACCATATGGGCGATCAAGTAACCATGGAAACCTTTCTTGGCGAAAGATGGAAGTAAAACGTATAGAAAACTGACCATCAATAGTTTCTGTTGATTCATCGACCCTAGTGTGTGCTGGATACGCCCCCCCCCCCCCGCCCTTCCTGACTTACCTATCTACGGTCAACCTATTCTTCCCATCAGTTATTTAATAAATAAAATCTATTAAACTCATATAAGCTGTACGAAACAGAAGTCGCAACTGCATGTATTTTACTACTGGGCTTGTAAGCATGGAGAGATTGGAATGGGCAACCCATCAATATATAATATCGACTGCTTCGTTCTTGATATACAATGTTGGGGGGGGGGGGATCACACTACATTGCTGACGAACTCCGCCGCCGTCTCCAGATTTGCAAGATCTCCATTTACTTATTTTACAATTAAACATTTTCAATGAATGTTTAATGTTGGGGGCTTGAGCTGCTCTGGGCGCCTAAATCCTGAGCGCCCCGAGCCCGCAATTCTTTACACCCTAATCTTTCTACGTCATAGGGTGTTGTAGAGGCTTCGTAGTCCCCCTTCCCCCCCACTCCCAAAAAAAACACCCCCAAAAAAAAACAATAAGTGTTGTTATTTTCATCCATCTTCAATTACAAAAATCAGTTTTCTGAAAAAGTTTTGATGATACTTGGTGAATATTTGATGAATATTTGATGAATATTAGATGTTTATTTGATGTTTATTTGATGATTATTTTATCTTCTACAGAGAGCGACACGACTGATACAACAGAGAAACAACAAAAACAAAACAAGACAAGGTAAGCAACTCTTGGTAATAAAAAATCTATTTCTAAAATTGGGAAATTCCTTGGCCTTCATTTGGCTAATGGTTTGCGCGAAATGACGTGACGTCACGCATACACCACCGGTAGTACTAATGTCCTACACAGTAGGTCTAGTTATTTTTTGGTCTAACATTTTAGAAAGATGTTGTTTTATAAACAAAATTTGATCCGATGATGTCTAGATTTCAATCTTTGATGCTGCAAATCGTACAGAACATAAATTATGAAATTGAAGTTGGTACCTTGATGTCTTATAGGATGGATGTTTTATTTGATTAAATTTGTAAATTATGTTTGTGTTCTTATTTACTGAGATCAGTCAAACACATACACCCACGAGTGATAAAGTTTTCTTAAAATGATTCTTAAAGTACAGGGAAAGATTGAGAAGTAAGTAGGTCTAGATATTTTTCACACAAGTTTATAACGAGCATTTTAAAAAAGTGGAAAAATATGAACGTTTGATATAAATTATTGTTTATCTTATGATTAAAAACAATTACTGTTCTTATATTTTGTATGTATTTAGGATTTTAATACTTTGCTATTGACCGCTGTATTCAGAGGGTTTCCTAGGATGAGCACCGCCCCCCCTCCCCCCCCCCCCCCCCCCAAAAAAAAAAAACTTTTTTTTCCACCAGATCTCAAGTTTTCAGCTAGTCTTTTAGCTTCTTATCTCCGTGTGGTGAATGGTGTAGTCGTTAATCTTTTAGCTCCTAATCCCCGTGTCGTGATTGTTGTGCTAATCTCCGTGTGGTGAATTTTGTGCTAATCCCCGTGTGGTAAATGTTGTGGACGTTAATCTTTTAGCGTCTTATCTCCGTGTCGTGATTGTTGTGCTAATCTCCGTGTGGTGAATTTTGTGCTAATCCCCGTGTGGTAAATGTTGTGGACGTTAATCTTTTAGCGTTTTATCTCCGTGTCGTGATTGTTGTGCTAATCTCCGTGTGGTGAATTTTGTGCTAATCCCCGTGTGGTAAATGTTGTGGACGTTAATCTTTTAGCGTCTTATCTCCGTGTCGTGATTGTTGTGCTAATCTCCGTGTGGTGAATGGTGTAGTCGTTAATCTTTTATCGGCTAATCCCCGTGTCGTGAATGTTGTGCTAATCTCCGTGTGGTAAATGTTGCGGACGTTAATCTTTTAGCGGCTAATCTCCGTGTGGTGAATGGTGTGCTAATCTCCGTGTAGTGTTGTTTTTAGTTCCTGAAGCATTTCTCACCGTCCCAAATCTTAATCTACTTGCTGGCCTTTGTATGTTACATCTTACCGTCTTTACCCTAAGTTGTGTTCATGCTTTTAGCCCACAAGGTTCCAACATACTGTTGACATACGCCGTTCTCATACACAAATGCTTTTACAGCTGACCAGTTTACACCGAAATTAACCTTAATGTCATTACAACATAAATAATTGAATGTCGCTAAAGTACTTGATTAAATTGATGACTGACACCACCAAACCAGAATATGTGTATAGATAAAATATTTTTAATAAATAATTTAAAAGTTAACTAATTTATAGTTTATATTTTCTTTTTTTTGTTTAAATAAAAACATTGCCGACATTTGTACGAGAATATTTATAACATAACTATTATATTATTATTTTACCAATAACTAATATTTAACTTTATTATGTGATCAAGTTGCCGTTTGGCCATGACGCAGTATTTAATTGGAAACACAAACATACACAAATGTTGTCTCCCCTTACTGTCAGCACGTCCGTCAAGTTTACCCAGGAATTATGGTCTACCGTCGGCCGGAACTTGTTTGATCTTCGGGTATCGGCTTTCAGCGCCGCCGCTTCTGCGGTCACGTGCCTATGTCATCTTACGTTTCGTTTCTTTTTCCGTCGGCGGAAGAAGTTTTTAATTTTATAACGACATTAAAATTAATCCTTCTGTACCCGCCGCCTTTTAAAGCTGTGTTTAGGAAGCGAGTGTGGAATAAAGAGGATTATTTATTTTACTGCTGTATTCTGAGATTGAACATCAAAAGACGTTAATTAAATATGCTATGCGTTGGACGTTTTAAATCCTGTTTAACTTAACATTTAGTTGATACAAAAATAGTTTTAGATTTGATGAGTGGAGGGTGGAATGATTGAGTAGATAAAGTAGAGTGCGACTGTTTCTGTGGACGCGACTTATAACGATGTTGTGTGGCGACTACTGTTGACCAACTTGTCTAAAGTTTACCAATAGTGTTGGGGTTGATTCAGACATATAGTGTTGTACATTCTAGAAGACAGCATGACCGGCAAAAAGACAATATGACCGGCACACAGACAACAAGACCGGCACACACAGTCAACAAGACCGGCACACAAACAAAAAGACCGGCACACAGACAACATGACTGGCACACAGACAAAAAGACCGGCACACACAGTCAACAAGACCGGCACACAGACAACAAGACCGGCACACACTGTCAACAAGACCGGCACACAGACAAAAAGACCACCACATGA